CTTAGCAGCCAAATGACGTCTGCCAGAAAGGACATGGAATAGTTGACTTTTTTGGAAAGTACTCAAAGTAAGTATGTATATAAGATATATGTGTGCATTTAGATAAAGAATTCAAAATACTTATTGAGCACATACCTTGAGTATAACTCTGGAGGCTAAAGAAAAAAAGGAAAACTGAACTTAATTGATACATTGTTTAATTAGCCTTTTCTGCCTTAGGATATTAGCTGAAGTCTTTGTGATATTGACTGTGACATTTTTATACAATTATTAATTCAGATTAACTCAACATACCATGATTAAGTACCAATTATATACCAAGTCTTGTGTTAGGTGCTGATTTTGACTCTTAGTTGCTTAGTTTCATTTATCCTTGCTTGAATGAAGTGCTTCCCTTTTAAAAATGTCCTCACAACTCAATACCTTAAAAGCAACATACTTCATGAACCCAGGTTTGTTTTTCATTTGTTTATTTGTTTACATTTATGTTGGTTCATATTACAGTAGAGAGTATTCACTTTAAAGTGAGAGAAAGGTAGGTGTGAATCCCTGCCGTGCTGTGTGTAGGCTCTGTGTTTTCTCATTTGGAGACTGGGGATCCATAAAATCTGTCCTATCCAGTGGTTGTGAGGACCAAGTGGAACATTGTAGGCAGAGCCCTAGGCCATCACAAACCCTCAAAAATACCTAGTTCTGTTCAGCTTGTTCTTCAAGAGAATACAGAAAACAGAGAAGAGAGGAAGCAGCTATTCAGTGGATATCCATTTGACTGTGAGTTTTTCTGCAGTGGAACAATTCAAGTATGGAACTGGATCTCCCAAATAGGAAAATCTGGCCAAATGAGTGCCAAATAGGACAGACAAAAAGAATTGTCATGAGTATTACAGTAAGTATTACTTTAAGTGTTATTGTAAGTAACTATATTAGTACAAGGTCCTAACATAACTGACCAAGGCATGTGTGTGTATGTGCGTACATACACGTGTATATGTGCCTTGGGCAGGGAGTAGGGAGGTGAGGTCTGGACATGTGGGATGTTAATTGAGAGGCACAAGTGAGGGAGAGTCTTACTTCCAGGACTCCCTTCAGAAGTTAGAAAGGAGCTGCCCAGACACAGCCCTGGGACTGTCTTCTTTTACTGGAACTGGACTGTCATTAGACACTGGGAACCTGCCTCACCTAGAGGGAAGCAGTGTAGCCAGTGGGTACTCAGAGGCCACAGCACATCCCTATGCCACTTAGGTTATTTCTGCCACTGGAAATTAAGTGTCTAAAATAAACTCATTGTTGAAATGCAGCCTCTTGTGTAAAGAGGAATTCGTCATGTGTTTTTAATGTGGACTCATACATTCATAAATATAACTCCATTTTCCATTGACTTGTTCCTTCTGTTTAATGCATAATCATTTTATGAATATAGACTTTGGAAAATGAGATAAAGCAAATGCATAATGTCTCTGGAAGAGCACACCTTCATCTGGAGCACACCCTTTGGAGGTGTCTCAGGAATTGAACTGGCAGGGTATGCATACACATCAGACACAAATAGGTGTCAAGTGAAATGCACAGGCTAGTAGGAGTCCAATATTTCCTCCAGGTCTGAGTCTAGCCCTGATTCTGCTCCCTCAGAGTTCTTCTTACCAATCTTTGAGTCTGAGGAAGTGAAAGTAGCCATGAGCACCTTTGTAGGTCTTCATGGGGCTTCAGAGAAAGTTCTTCCCATCCCTGATCAGGGGCTCATGGCATCACTGGGGAAACCCAGTCTTCAGGTTGCTTTATTCTCTCTGATCTCCAGATGGCCAGTGATGACAGTTTTTTCTACATTGGCACCACAACTGGAGATATTCTGAAAATGAACCCAAGGAATAAACTGCTGGTAGACACTGGGCCTGCGAAGCACAAATTCAGTCTGGTGAGTAGACAACATCACATCAAATTCTGCTCTGGCCTGTTGTTATCTAGTGATTTCTTGCCTCCGTTGGTAGCACAGACTTACATTAAGAAAAAGTTCATGGTGTATCCAAAGCCCAAAACCACCAGGGGCATTGACTGGTTCCCTAAGCCCTGGTCTCTTGTTATATTCAGGGCAGAGGTATTCCTAAGGTGTCCTCAGTTAGGGAATCAGAACTACACCTTTTCCCACATCTGCAAAGCATAGGCCTGTGGCTTTGTGATTTGTACCTACATTGGGTCCAGCATTTGGGCAGGCTTGTTGCCACGTGTACGAGGACTGTGATCTTCATCTGCAAGACTGTCTATATGTATATATACATTTTTTTCTAATCTTAGATTAGAAATAACTATATCTTATGTTTTAGCCTCAACCACTGTTATATCATGAATAAGACCTAAACATTTTCAATTGTTTCTATTTGCAGAATTCCTAATGATTCTAGTTAAAAGTTCAATAAAAGACTGACATTTATACCAAAATAAAAAAGCCTATGATCCAAGGGTGAGTTTCCTGAATAAGTGCTTCTATTTTTAGTACCTCCAGAGAATTACAAGGGTTGGTTCTACTAAACTTTGAATCTGAAAGCTGTGCTAGGGTCTGCACCTGCCTCTCTCAGTTATGGTAATAGAACAGATGGTTCCAACTAAGCTTAGATACTTTCCTACTTAGAAGATATTCCCAAGAAACTGAAATATTGCACCGTGTTCCTGGAAGATATCAGAGTTTTCTTAATCACACAACCATTTAATAGTCAAGATTTATGGAGATGCCTAAGAGTGGGAGAAAGCTATAGTAGAAGTAGAGAAGAGTTCAGAAATAATCCTACAGGAGATCAAGGTATAGAGTAGTTCACTGTTTTTCAAATTATTTTTAGAAAAGAGTTTCTAATACATTAAACAGATCAGTTTACAGGAGGGCAAGGCTTAGAGCCCAGCCACTTCCCACTCCTGAGACACCTCCAAAGGGTTCTGTAAAAACACTTCGTGAAAAATACTGATCCAGCTCTTTTTGCCTCCCCAGCACTTGGTATCTAAGTGCCTTTCCAAAGAAGATGCCGGCTCTCTCAGTGTTCCTCAAACTTTGGTACTTAAATGCCATCCTTGGTGGCACTATGGATGATTTAATTCCTAACCATTCCAGTCTGATGGTAAATTCTACAAAGTAATGGTTCCAAGATGCATTTTCTTCACATGGAAAGAAAATAATTCTTATGGGATGAATAGATAGGAGGCATCATTGAAGACATTTGGTTGGAATATCATGTCCTTTTGGGCAGTTACCCATTTTGAAACTCTACTTAAATGTTTGCTCTATGGTTAGAGAGGTAAAGAATAGGAATGGTGTCTAATGGACCTATTAGGCATACAGCACTAGAATGAAGATGATAATGATGCTTAAAAACAGTACATGGTCAACAAATGTCCAGACATGGAGTGAAGCACCATTATCTCATTTGATCCTCACCACAATCTGATGGGATAGGTACCATTTCACCCCTGCTTTATGGATGAAGAAAGTGAACCACATACCATTTGAGATCTCATGGCCGGCAAGTAGTAGAGCTGAGATGTGAACTCAGGCCGACTGGTTCCAGGACTTCTACACTGAACAATATCATCTATAGTTCCAAAATGGTGTATTTGGGAATTACACACAGGTGACTTTGAGGCTCCATTGAACTCTTTATCCCTGCTTCCCCAAACTTCCGAACAAATGCTAATAAGAATATTCAGTCCAGAGATGATTCCTCGCTGACCAGGCATTCATCCCCTCATCTTGCTGCGGCACTTTTAGAATTGGGTGAAGCACATAATTCTGGTTCATACCTTTATATTCTTGAGTCTTGGCTTCTCTTTTTAAACATCATGAAATGCCCTTTGAACCAGAACAGGTAAAATATAATTTAATGTAACTCGAAAGGATGTAATACTTGTTTCATAATATCAAGTGTCATTAAGACACAAACCCATAAAGTCATTAGCTATATTATTATTGAAAGTTTTAAAAGAAAATGTTGGTCATGCACAGTTTAAAATTAGAGCTCCAGAGTAGGTGCTATAAAAAGGCCATCGTACATCTGCAAACTTTGAAGATGACTTTGAATTTGAACATTTCCTGTTATGGTGAGATTATGTACTGCATGCTTCAGTTCAGGAAATAGAGTCACCAGCAATATGGAGTCTGTCATGCTTTCTTTGGATGTCGAATACAGTCTCTTTGCTCTAGAAGAATTAAGTTCTGGTGCAAACAGTGGCAGCTAAGGAACTAATGGCGTGGCTGTGCTTACTTATGCCTTTTGCTCTAACTTTCTTTGAGTGGGTACAAAGTGCTAATTCTTAATACTGTCAAAGCACACAGGTGGTTCCAAAGGGAGGAAGTTTGGGAAGCCTGTTTGCTCCCTGCAGGCCCAGGAGGGCTACTTCCAGTTGGTACCGAGCCCTTTTGGCTGGCCCCACGGTGCACCCCAGGTGGTACCACCAGGAGCTTCACCCAAGAAATGTGTGGCTTCATTACATGTCCCCGCCAGGCCCATTGTGTCAAGTTTGCATTGATTCCTAAGGAGGAAACCCTTTGTGCTTTTTCTCAATGCTGTTTCTCCCCACAGGGAGTGTCAGCTATCAAGTGCCTGAAGATGGGGGGTTTGTTAGTGGGTTCTGGAGCCGGACTGCTGGTCTTCTGTAAAAGTCCCACCTACAAACCCATCAAGTAAGTTCCAGGCTCCACAGGGGGTGGGATGGGGAGAGACTCAGCAGAGGGAGGTTTGCTTAAAGTCAGCAACTAAGCTATACTGGCAAAGTGGTATTTGGTTAAAGAACTCCTCTTACTGTTTAAATTAGTATTTAGAATCACAACGGATGGTGGTTTCTTTACCGATGAGAAGACAATGGCTTATGCTGAATCCAGCCAAAGTAGCTCACTATTGCCCAGGGAGACACTGCCCTTCTAATAAGTGTGTAAATTATTATTTAGCTAATACATTGAGCAGTGACAGAGAAAATATGCCGTTATAAATGTATCCAACAAATAACCTCAAATTTCAGACTTTCAAAATTTTTTTATTCAATGAAATTTATTCTGCAATGGGTACCTATTACATAGGTAGATAGCAGTCACTATGCTAATAGCCAATACATTTGAATACAAATTTTAATACAAATAGCCAACATTACCAGCTATTACTATGTACCAGATACTATGCTATGTACTTTTCCTGGCTTATCTAATTAAAATAAAATGAAATAAAGCTTTATACATTGTCATTAACAAGTATTTATTGAGAATCTCCATCCAAACTAATGTACTAATGCTATTAAAACATAAAATAAGATATGGTCTTTGCCCTCCCAGAACGCAGTCTGGTTTGGAGATAAAAGTCACGTGAAAAAGTCACTATAATGCAGGATAACATAGAAACACAAATCTGATGATCCAGATAAAGTGAAATATATCATGGATGTTGTAGAGAAGATCAGAGAAGGGAGTGATCTTGTTGGATAGCGAGGTCAGGAAATATATTTCAAGGAGGTACAGAGGCAAAAGTTGAACTTAGCTTCGACAAAGCCAGATTCCCCTAGATGCACTCCATGTGGCCTCTGCCGGCTCGAAGGAGGCCCGGGGTACCTGCGATACCTTGCAGAAAAAAGCGGATGTGGTGTATGGGCTGTTTTCCTTCAGATCTGTATGGAGCACTCACTAGGTATGGAGGGCTCTTCTGGGAATGTGTGGGGTATGCCAATGGCTAAAGCAAACAAAAATGAAGAAAAACCCCCTGCCCTCATGGAGCTTACATTCTAGCAAGAGGGAAAAGACCGTAGAATAAACCAAATAAACAAGCAGTGCATAGTATTAAAGGGTGACAAGTACAGTGGAGACAAGTGGAGCAGGATGTAGGGAGACGGGAGGTCCAAGTTTGAAGTGGGGGACAGGGGACAGGCTGCAATTTTAAATTCAGAGCTCAGGATAAGCCTTACTGAGAATGTATTTGGACCAGTTTTGTGTTTGTATGAAGGGAATAGGAGAGAGAGGCAACTTAAGAACAATGTTAGGTAGTCTGTGAATAGGTGAGGTAAGTATAAAAAATTAACCACTACCCCCCAAAAATAAAAAAAATTAACCCCCTAATTTTTTAATTCCTTGTTTCTAATATACAAAAATTCCCACTGGAATGAAGATAATTAGATTCAAAGCAGTTATTACAAGATTTCTAATATATGTTCCAAACTAACCTTCTGTGACAGCATAGGCTCAAATTGGATGGAGAGATTTCTGCCTCTTTGGGTTTTAATAGACTGAGGATGCAGCTCACATGAGGTCATGGAAACGAGAAAGGGAAGTAGAAAGAGAAAACAGACCACCAGATCCCTGACTTTACCCCTAGAGTCCTGGGCTTTATCTTGTCTTCTAGAGAGGCCAGATGCCAATAGCCAGTATTTCCTGACAGCGCTCTATGGCCGCATGTACATTACCTCCATGATCTCCAGTCTTCACTACGACTCTGTAGAGGAGGAGTTATTCTGTAGTTGAATAAACTGAGGTCCAGAGATTTTTGGCAGCTTTTCTAGAGTCACAGAGCTCTAGTTAGTGAGGAAGCTGGGATATGACTTGGGGGTCCATCCTTTCTTCATTAACTGTTCTGTGTCCCACCAACAAATTAGTCTTTGTGAAATACTGCATTTCCCATGCTGGCTCCTTGAACTAGAATCCCCACTGAATTCTTATTGTCGAACTAACTTAGTTGCAGAGCAAGGATGGGTCTCTAGGGTCACATTCATTTATACATTCTTATTTTAAAAAGTTCATATTCATTAAACATTTGGTGAGCAGAGGGATCTGGAATCTGGAAGATAAAATAATGTTTATAAACTTCAATGAGTCTAGCCACTATTAGCACTTTGTTATTTCTTCTTAACTGTGTTATTCATATAAATGTTAAAATAATTGTACTTATTTTGCATATAAAACTTTATATTCTACCTTTTTTACTTGATGTAAACATCATAAACATTTTCTATATCACTACATAACCTTTTTTTGTTATTGTGGTAAAATATGCATGTACTCCATAATCACTTAATCATGGTTTTAAAGAACATTTAACTTTTTCATTACAATTGAATGTTTAGGTTGTTTCCAACTTTTTAGTCTTTTAATATACAATTATAATAACATCCTTTAACATAAAGGTTTTCCCCCCAAGTTTTGGATTATTTCCCAGAAATGGAATTAATCAAGTATTTAATTGCATGGTCATTTGTGTCCATGAATGTTTTTTCAGTGCAAATCCCACCTGTGCTGCATAACCTATTTCATACTATATCTCACAGATGAAGCAGTGTAAACTGCTGGCCTCTCCCTCTACTGACCATGTGTACCCCAAATTGTGTATAAACTGCTGCCTTTCCAATTGTGACACCTCCTTGAAGGATGTCCCAGGTCACACGCCTGATTTATGTCCTCCGTCATACTTTAGATGGCTAATAAATATTCATCGACTTAATGGGTCTACTTCACCTCTTTGCTTTTCTTCAAAGGAAAATCCAGTTACAAGGTGCCATCACTTCTATCACTCTTCGAGGGGAAGGACACCATCTTTTCATAGGAACAGAAGAATCACAGATTTATCGTGTCAACTTCACAGATTTCAGAGAGACTCTCATTGCAACTTGTCACTTTGAAGCTGTCCGGGACATTGTCTTTCCATTGTAAGTAGAAGAGGAAAATATTTTTGCCCCTAAAAACAATAAAAAATGAACATCTGATGCAGTGTGCAAGAAAACTTCATTTTATTAATGTATTTCAATATCTATTAGGATAATTATGGTTTTTCTCCTTAATTTTCTAGTAGGGTCAATTATTTTAATATTTGTTATTTAATATCATCATAATATATAACACTTATATTTGATTATCATTGTTGTTTAATTTTTATTAACAAAGATTATTTAGATTGCCTTCACCATGCAGATACATTAGTTTTCACAATTCAAATTTGGGCTTCTTTGGAATGTTGGGTTTTCTAACAAATCCATCATGGAAAATTTAAATACTGGGCTTTATCTTGTCTTCTAGAGAGGCCAGATGCCAATAGCCAGTATTTCCTGACAGCGCTCTATGGCCGCATGTACATTACCTCCATGATCTCCAGTCTTCACTACGACTCTGTAGAGGAGGAGTTATTCTGTAGTTGAATAAACTGAGGTCCAGAGATTTTTGGCAGCTTTTCTAGAGTCACAGAGCTCTAGTTAGTGAGGAAGCTGGGATATGACTTGGGGGTCCATCCTTTCTTCATTAACTGTTCTGTGTCCCACCAACAAATTTGTCTTTGTGAAATACTGCATTTCCCATGCTGGCTCCTTGAACTAGAATCCCCACTGAATTCTTATTGTCGAACTAACTTAGTTCCAGAGCAAGGATGGGTCTCTAGGGTCACATTAATTTTTACATTCTTATTAAAAAAGTTCATATTCATTAACCATTTGGCAAGCAGAGGGATCTGGAATGTGGAAGATAAAATAATCTTTGAAAACTTCAGTGAGTCTAGCCACTATTAGCACTTTGTTATTTCTTCTTAACTGTGTTATTCATATAAATGTTAAAATAATTGTACTTATTTTGTATATAAAACTTTATATTCTACTTTTTTTACTTGATGTAAACATCATAAACATTTTCTATATCACTACATAACCTTTCTTTTTGTTATTGTGGTAAAATATGCATGTACTCCATAATCCCTTAATCATGGTTTTAAAGAACATTTAACTATTTCATTACAATTGTATGTTTAGGTTGTTTCCAACTTTTTAGTCTTTTAAAATACAATTATAATAACATCCTTTAACATAAGGGTTTTCCCCCCAATTTTTGGATTATTTCCCAGAAATGGAATTAATCACGTATTTAATTGCATGGTCATTTGTGTCCATGAATATTTTTTCTATGCAAATCCCACCTGTGCTGCATAACCTATTTCATACTATATCTCACAGATGAAGCAGTGTAAACTGCTGGCCTCTTCCTCTACTGACCATGTGTACCCAAAATTGTGTATAAACTCCTGCCTTTCCAATTGTGTCACCTCCTTGAAGGATGTCCCAGGTCACATGCCTGATTTATGTCCTCCGTCATACTTTAGATGGCTAATAAATACTCATCGACTTAATGAGTCTACTTCACCTCTTTGCTTTTCTTCAAAGGAAAATCCAGTTACAAGGTGCCATCACCTCTATCACTCTTCGAGGGGAAGGACACCAGTTTTTCATAGGAACAGAAGAATCACAGATTTATCGTGTCAACTTCAGAGATTTCAAAGAGACTCTCAGTGCAACTTGTCACTTTGAAGCTGTCCGGGACATTGTCTTTCCATTGTAAGTAGAAGAAAATATTTTTGCCCCTAAAAACAATAAAAAATGAAAATCTGATGCAGTGTGCAAGGAAACTTCATTTTGTTAATGTATTTTCAATATCTATTAGGATAATTATGGTTTTTCTCCTTAAATTTTCTATTAGAGTCAATTAATTTAATATTTGTTATTTAATATCATCATAATATATAACACATATTTGATTATCATTGTTGTTTAATTTTTATTAACAAAGATTATTTCCATTGCCTTCACCATGCAGATACATTAGTTTTCACAATTCAAATTTGGGCTTCTTTGGAATGTTGGGTTTTCTAACAAATCCATCATGGAAAATTTAAATAGATGGCAAAACATTTCTGTTGTCCCACTGCTGTCTGGAAAAAGCTTACTGGCACCTTTTTTCAAACTTATTTCAAACCCTTTATTTATGTCTCTTGGGTCTTTCAGGTATGGGATTCTTAATGGTAGTGGGTAAAAGAGGTCTTCTGGATCTAGTTGCTGTAATTTTTAGTCAGTCCCACAGCAAACAACTGAAACAAACAACCACCAGCAGTTTTGATATCAAAAAGAGCTTCAGTCATAGTTTGCCACTCTCTGATATTGAAACACATTATAAAACTCAAAATCATTTTTTTATAGGTAGAAAGACTCCTTTGAAAACTCCATCTTTAAGATCATGAAATGTATTTTCAGTTCCCTGAGTCATGATTAGATTCTTGTAAATATTTCTAATAGTGAAAATGGCTGGTGGTGAATCTTTTTTGAAAATTGATTGGTCATTTCCTTTCTGTCTTATTTTTTTCCTCTTTTTCTAAGGAGCTTGGTGGAATCAATCTGTAAAATTATTTGATCCTGGTGCCTGTTATGAGTAGACTTTTAACTATCTTTTCAATTCTTCAATAGTCATTGAGCTATTCAGGTTTTGTAACTCTTCTTTTTCTTTCCTTTTTTTTTTTGAAAACAGCTTTATTGTAATATAATCTAGATACCATAAAGTTCACCCATTTAGAGTATACAATCGACTGTTTCTTGGCATATTTACAGAGTTGTGTAATCTAATCAGCACAGTCTAATTTTAGGGCATCTTACTACCCTAAATGAAACCTACTAACAGTCACTACCCCTTCCCTGCTTGTATTCTCCTCCTTCTTTCTACACTACTGAGTTGTGGAGAACCCTGGGCTAAGAGGAAGAACATGGAGTAGATGAGTATCATGTACAAAACTGTATCCTTCCTTTACTTCTAATTTAGCGGTGTTAATGTACTTTGTTTTCAACTGCTATTACATTGTGTACCAAAGCATTCATATATTGGAAAAAATATGTATGAACAGATGCAACTTCTGCAATATTCTGCTATCATTTGCCTATTTACCAATTGCATATAAGCTAATATTTATTACAGAACATCCATTGTAGCAAAAGAAACTGAACATCTTTTTCCATGCTATTTTCAACCTATTAGCATTGCTTAGTTTTAGATAAGTCTTGGTCTTTTAATAGAATCTAATCCATTCATACTTATTACTATCTAATAAGCTTATAGATGTTTCCTATTTAATATGTTTCTTTTTTTGATTTTTCCTTTTATCTTTCAATGCAGTGATCATCTTTTTTTTGATCCAGTCTTTCCTTTCTCTAATGCCCATGATTTGGAATCTCTTCACTTTATTTTTATTCATTTGGTGACTGCCCCTGAATTTTAATATCATACTTAAACATTTTTCTGGCAAAGACTATAGTTAACCAACATTTGTATCAGATTTTCCAAAGAAGCAAGAGTTTCAGTATATTTCACTTCCCTCTTTACTTTCTCTCATCATCTCCCATGCTAACATTACTTGGAATTATAGATTCAGATTATATTATTATTGTTTTTTTACAATTAATTACTATGACTTCTGTTTTTTGCTTTTATCACTGTTTTTTTTTTTTCTCACACATCTCCCTCTTCTTTTTTTTTTTTTTCATTTGTTTGGTAATTCTTTCATAATCTCTGTATAGGAAATGTAGTCCTTAACTTACTTGAATGTATCTTTGTTTTATTCTCAGACTTGAGTGATAATTTGGCTAAGTTAAAAAGAATTTTAATGAACTTTGTACTGAAATATAGTGTACATGCCAAAAGTACATAAATCACAAGGAAACCACCTCAATGAAATATCACACTTATACGACTATCACCCTGGTCAAGCAATAGAATATTTCCATCACCCAAAAACACCCCTCCCAATCACTACCCTCATCCTCTTTCTTAAAGATAATCATTATCCAGACTTCTAGCCCCATGGATTAATTTTACCTGCTTTAGAAACGTTATGTAAATGGAATAATTCAAATGTACTTTGAAGGTAATTTCTTTTTCTCTATGGAAGGTTTTAATGTTAATATCATACAGATTTTCCTATCCTTAAGGATTTTTTTGTTTACTTGTTTTATTAGTTGCTGAGACAAATGTGTTTAAGTCTCAAGTAATGAATGTAGATTTCTCCCTTTATTTCTGTCAGTTTTTGCTACCTACATTCTTAAAGCTCTGTTATTAGGTGAAGATACATAGATATGTATACATATATGATGGTTTTTATATCTTCCAGATGGTATTGACATTTTTTAATCTCTGTTAAGTATTCCTCTTTGTCTCTAGTAATTCTCTCTGATTTGAAATTTCTCTTGTATGCTAGTAATATATTCATTCTAGCTTTCTTACTCTTTGAATTATATTACTTTTAAAATATCTTTTCATTTTCAATATATATTTTTAATATTTGGATCTTCATATTTCAAGGACATCCCTTGAAATATCACATAATTAGTCTTACTTTTTCTATCCAGTCTAATAATCTCTACTTTTTATTTGAAATGTTTAGTCCATTTATATTTAATGTAATTTTTGATATGGTTGTATTAAATCTTCCATTTTGTTATTTGCCACCTTTTGTCTCATCTATTCTTTGTTCTTTTATTACTTCTTTCCTGCCACTTTTGTTTTAATCAGAAAAATTATTTTAGCATTCGATTTAAAGTCTTCTACTGACTTAATTGCTATCTTGGCTTTCTAGCTATACATCTTTGCATTAATTTTTTTAGTGGTTGCTCTAAGGATGACAACATCTATCTTTAACCTATCACAGTCTGCTTAGAGTTAATGTTGGAACTACTTGAAGTAAGATACAATATAGGAACTTTGCAACAATATATTTCCCTTAACACCACTGTGATCTTTAGTGCTACTGTTTCCATGTATACTGATTTATATTATAAATCTATCAATACAATATTATAATTTTTGATTTAACAGTAATGAACTTTCAAGGAATTTAAGAGAAGAAAAGGAAATAAAAAGATATGCCTTTTGTGCTTACCC